AAAAAGTATTATATGAAACAATTTCACAAGATTAAACAATTTCATGAAAAAATTTCATAAGATTAAACAATGAAATCGACAGATGAAGGTGGTTTACACGGTTTACACAAATGAGGACGGTTTTCATATAATCACTCCTCTATTCTTGTATTTGTCATTAAATACGATTGTTATAGTTTAAGTTATGCATAGCAACAATTTTAAGAATGCATATCTTAGAAGGTATCTTTTGAATGGTATAAATAATTGCACCACACTTATCTGATGTGAAATTTGATCAACTCGGTATTGTATTTGACATATCACCATATTATTAAGCTGGCTTTTTGACATTTAGTCAAAATTAAGATATATATATATATATATTCTTTAACACTCATTATAAAGTATTAGTAATTAACCACAAGGGTGGTGTCTGATTGGTTTGAGCTTGGCTCCAAAGGTTAAAAGTGTCTGGAGGTCTCAGGTTCAAATCCAATAAGAAACAAAAATCCTCTTGTGGCTACGGAGGTTCAAATGTGGTGATTCCGGGCTACCTGCAAAACGGGTGATTGTCCTGGGATTAGTCGGCTTGTATAGCGGGTTGGATATCCAGGTTAATAAAAAAAAGTATTAGTAATTTGAATTCTGGTGCATATTTTTTGTTTCATTAAGAGTTTTTTAGATATCCCTCTTCATGCAATAACCAAGGATTAAAATGGGTGCAAGTCGTGACATGACAGTGAGCTCAAACCTTAAGTCTTATATGTCACAGTGAGGACGAGAAGTTTTTCAAAACATGACATATGACAGTAAAATTGTATGTCATGTATAGGATTATATATATATATATATATATATGTGTGTGTGTGTGTGTGTGTGTGTGTGTGTGTGTGTGTTTTTTCTATGTATTACTTAATATCAAATAATGATATAAAAAATTATATTCATATTAGAAGAAGAAAAATCATATAAATTATTATTATAAAAATAGTATTTGATTAAATATTCAAAATTGAACTTAGAAAGTTAATTTTACAACTTCGTTTTAATCGTGAGTCCATGACGTTTATGAATTTATGAAATTTTAAATGATGTGATTAGATAAATCTATAAAATCTAAAATTAAAAGTGTAAAATAAAAAAAATTTATAAAATAAAAAAACAAAATGTTTTTTTTTCCTTCTAAAAGTCACTTCTTGTAAAAAGAGCAGATGTCATGGCATGAGTCATGCCTTACAGAAACACTATAGGCCTTTTTGTAACGACAGAGACGCATCTTGTACTATATTGCGCCTTGACTGACGTCATGACTCGTCTTTTTGAACACCGGCAGTAACATCATTTTCAATGTTTTTAATTTGAACTGCCATTTTCTTCATTCCAATTATTGTGAAGAGACATCTATAATCGTTAGTATTGACAGTTTATTTAATTGTTAGTTTTTTAATTAAAAAAAACTACATGATTGTAGTTTATTTAGATGAACAAAAAAAATAAAGGCACACATGACCATAGATGTTAACAGTTCAAGCTTTTAACGAGCTATTCAAGTTTAATCTTAGTAATTCTTGAGTTTAAGTCGATCTTTAAGCAAAAAAATAGATCTTTGATAAATAAATAAATAAAACTCGTTTAACTTATGAAAATCGAGCTCTATAACATTAATATATATGACTCAACTTGTTCCGAAGCTCGGTTAATTTTTTTGAGTAGACGCTCCATAAAAGTATAGACTTTTTCAAGCCGAACATGTTCATATGCTCATATATCATTCAATTAAAATAAAAAGAATAAAAGATGTTGCTAGTGCTCGGTTTGAGTCAATATATCAATCTCAAGTTCGAGTACACATACGAGCTTATAAAAAGTCTGAATTTTAAGTCATAATATGCAACTCAAAATTATTAAATAATTATCGAGCTCTAATATAATATTATTTTTTTGGAACAGAACCCAGAAAAGCTTATAAGCTTATTGAATAAACTATTTTTTATATCATTAATCTACTATGAAACAATCGTGGATATTTCATCGTATAAGTTGTAAGTTTCATTATACTTATTAAACTGCTAACAAATAAGCTCTAATTAAACGACCACCATGTTGGGCAATGGGCTTGAGTGATTTTTCATTACGGACTACATTTATTTCCATGGCCCAAAACGTTTTTGGCCGATTAAGTGCTAATTATTTTAGTGTATCATTAAGCATAGAAACTAACTTCTGCAGGTGACAATGAGCATAAAGTACTAGAGATTAGAGATGGGCATATCAAACCAAATTTTATAACCGATTCCAGTTAACTTGAAGTAGGCCTGGTCTAAATCTGGTTACGTCCATAACCAATCGGGCCAAACGTGCTCCTCCTCCTGTCCTACATCTCATCACCCTCTTCAAGTTAAAGTTGCTTGAAGGAGAAACAGATCTTGATCCTTACCCATCCCACACTCTCCATATATTCATCTTCTCCACACAAACCTTACATTGAGATTGAGTCTTTCTAACCGGTTACATCATTTGCGGTCTTGCGAACAATCCTTGTGTTTCGAAGCCATAACTGGTTATAACCGAGACTCGGACCAGCTTAATCGGTTTACAGGTGCCAGTGACCATAACCGGCCTATCATAACCGATTATAGGACCAACATGTTCATTATCTGCTCATCTCTAAATAAGTAGATATGCACACAAAAAAACCCATGTCCAAGCCTAAAGCCCGGCCACAAAAAGGCCCAATCCAAGCCCAGCTCAAAGCTCGGACCAAGCCAATTTTGCTTTCGGTTTGGAAGATCCGTATTTAGACCCGAAAAAGGGGCTTGTGGGATCTCTATAAAGTATAAAGTACATATGAATTAGTTGTTGTACCGTACAAATATCCGTATCCAATTCAAGAATCCATTCGCCCGACCCATATCCAATGGGATTTCTCCAGCAGTTATCCGCTCGCTGTTCAGCGTCTTTCTGTTGATGATTGTCCAAACAGTTTGACACCTGCCCTTTTCAAAATCAAAATCCATGACAGCAACAATGGCGAATCGTGGAACAAATTAGGGTTTATGCACCACTAAATTTCTCAGAAAATGGAGTCAATTTCATCATCATCGTCGTCGTCTTTGCACATTCACCTCCGCCACAGAAACCTTATCTCTCTACACTTATCTTCAACAAATCCTTCCATCATTTCTTTTCCTTATCGTTTTGCTACGTTGCATTCACAGCGGTTTTGTGCCTTAAGAACTAGTAGTGCTGGTGGTGGCAGTAGCCAGCATGATGGCACTGCTTACGGCGCCGCTGATTTACTGAGAAAGCCGGTGGTGGAGGTGAAAGAGGAGGATGCTATTGATTCTTCAAAAGATGAGGATTCTGATTATGAAGATGACGGAGGGAAGAGAAGAGAGGAGGATGGGTGGGTTGACTGGGAAGATCAGATTTTGGAAGATACTGTACCCTTGGTTGGTTTTGTTAGGATGATTCTTCATTCGGGCAAGTAAGCTCTCGGTTTCAACCTTTTAAATTCGGTTACATGTTAATATTGAAACATAAATTGAATTCTGTAAATTTAGCTCAACGATTATGGCATCTTGTTGTCGAGCTAGAGGACTGCAAAGAGAATAACAATACTGCCGTGTAGTTCAAGATATTTGAGAGTCCTTTTATGAGTTTCTTCTTAATCAAATGCAACAAATTGAGCTACACCAATGCAATATTGTTAGGAGATAGAATATATATTAGGATTATGATTTCTTATCTAGTTATATATTAAATTTAATGGGTTAGTTAAGTGTTCACTTAATCCCTTCTTAGCCAATCAAGCTCTAGAAGGTCTCATGATGTTATGAGATTCTTCCTAATCAAATGCAACAAATGAGTTAAGCAATAGCTATATTTATAGTGGTTAGAATTAGCTATTAGAATTGAGGTTTCTTTTGTAGTTATGTTTATGCTATGCACCAATCAGTAATATAACATTGTGTGCACCCTAGATGTTTACTTGACATCAAACTTTGGCTAAGAACTTAGGACAACCACCTGAGAGTTTTATCATGTTTCCGTGATACCAATCAGACATGCTGCATGTTGTGCTGAAACATGTCCTACCTGTTACGATTCATTCTTAACGAGGTAAGTGCACATGCCTGATTTGCTTCACCTGTAGGAGCTACGCATCCGTTTTGACTCTGATTGAATAGGTGTAATGCTGCCTGAACCTCGTCGGATATGTTGGTATCCCATTCAAGCCATCCGAGTTCATGCTTTGTTGGTATCCATATGCATATCTTTGCCATTCTGGTTGAGTTTCAAGACTGTTTTTTCAATGGCATTTTTAGGAGCTTTATTTGAAGGCACCTTCTAAATGTCGTCACACTTTCACATGGAGGTCTCTTTTAATCAGCCATTTTCCAGCAAAAAAGAAAACCTAATAGAATATTTTTCATCATTGAACGGAAGCTTTCCTCAGATATTCAAGACATCATATTTGATAGAAATTATTGTGGCAGTCCTTGTTTGATGTGGAATCATTATTCAAATGTTGCTGCTGACCATCATACCTTAGAAGTACTACTAATTTGGTTATTAGCATGTGTAGATCATAATGGTTGTATCAGTCAACTTTTCAGTTGAAGCTTTTCTTTTTTTAATTTAAGGCATGACTACTGCTAGAGAAGACTGCAATATTTTGCATCCAAAAGAGCAGAGAAAGCAGCCTTAACAAAATGAGATGCATATAGCACAACTTCAGTCTATTATGCACGATTATCCGCATTTCTTGAGAGTACTCTATCAAGCCACCACAAGTAGAAAAATGACCCAGGCTCAAAGCAACTTCTGTAGTTTATCTATTAATGTATCAACATTTAACATCTTTTGCTTAATTTAAAAGTTTACGATTTCAAGTGATGCAGATTCTCATTTATCCTACATTGAATTTATTGTTACTACAGATATGCAAGCGGCGAGAGATTAAGCTCTGAGCACGAGAGAACTATTCTAGAGAGGTTGTTGCCACATCATCCGGAGAGTGAGAAGAAGATTGGGTGTGGCGTTAATTACATCACAGTTAACTCTCTCTCTCTCTCTCTATACACATACATGTTTATATAACCAATTAAATGCTCTTAAGTCTTAACTGCCCTTGTAAGACTTAAAAATTATATAGACAATAGATTCACCAATTCATAATTCACCTTCTTCCAGATTTATCCAAATAACAGTAGTAATACTCTTCTTTCCTGTCTGCTGCATTATGAATCATACTTTATAGGTTGCAGTAAATAAGAATTCTATTTCAAATTTAGAGATACATTTTGGCGTTTGCAGTCAAACACATCATCCTCGAAATCCAAATTGACATAGTTTTAGTTGTATATTGAGATTAATGACTTTGTGATTGTTAAATCATTTTTGGTTATTGGACAAAACAATTGGTCCCTTCATGTCTCATTAATTTGTTTACTGATTTTGGATCCTGCAATTAATTCGAGAGTGGAAAGAATTATGGAACCCAAGGCGAGGCATTTTCCCACCGTGAGCGAGGCGTAAGCCTCGAGGCAAAAAATAAAAATAAATAAAATAATATTATATAATGTAATACATAGCTGATGATAATATTTAGAATCATAATGTTGCTAATAAAGTCGTTAAATACTTTATTTTTTTTTTAAAAACAAATTAGATAAACAATAAAAGTCTCCCACATAAAGAGAAAAAATAAAAGTGATACGAATGTAAAGAGAAGAAGAAAAGTCACTCCTGTGTACAGTCGAGGAGTCCTTATGCACCTCCCAAATCGCAACCCTAGTATGTAGTCTTACCGTATAAAAACAAAAAATCACACATAGCAGTAAGTTTTCTTCTGCAATGGCCATGCACAAGGACAAAGAAAGGAGCAGAGATTTCACTTTAACGGTCACCAATCAGTAAGTATATTTTCTTTGATTTGGCATATTTTTTAATCCTAAAGCTTGGTATTGCCTCAGCCCCACGTCCTTTACCGCCTCAGACCCGCCTCAGTAGTTCGAGGCATAAGACCCAACCAAGCTATCTGAGGTGCTGCTCAAGAACGTTTTTTGACAGCCTCGCCTGGACTGTTTTTAGCAACCATGATGGCACCACCATGAACTGAGACCTCAACTAGAAGTGATGGATTTTCACTTTCTTATCATTGGCTATTAAAGGAATGATTATTCATGTCAATCGTTTTTCAGTATATAGTTCTAGTGTGGAAGGTGGTGGTTTGCATTTTATAACTATGTCTGTTTAAATTACAAGCCTCTTCGAAGAACAAAAATGTTTGTTGACCCATTTTGCATTGTAATTAGTTTGGAAAGGTTTAGTAATTGATTTTCTTCAAACTGCATTAATTTAGTACGTTTTAGCAAAGAGTTCCCTCGGCCATAGTGCGGAACTAAGCCAGCGATAGATGTTTGAGCTCTTCTCAACGAACGATGGGTACCATTGGTACCATCACAATGCATCTCCGTCGAACAAGTTTACTGTCACCTCCAGATGCTCTTTGTTGGTCAGTCGGTTTAACATACAATGTCTCTCTGCCCTCAGAATTCATCCATTTTGATCAGTGCCATCAAACACCATCATTTCCAAACGTTTCCCTGCAAATCATTGCTCCTTCATTCTGTCCATGTTGTTCACCTGCCTTGGGGCTTTCACTAGACTCCTCATGCAACCTTAGTATTTTACTCAGACTCAACTATTGCATCATCACCTGCACATTTTCTTTCAACAAAACGACTTTTGCCAGAATGATTCCTAGTCTGCCCTCCATCTCATTGACTGATCTCGTCATGGATCAGAATAGAAGACTCTGATACCAGTTGATGAGAATGTACGACAAGTTAACAACTAATTACAAAGAAAAGCCGAAGCTTTTATTGATGATTCAATTTTCAAATTTCCAAGACCAAGAAAACATGCAATATATATATATGTATATATATATATATATATTGCATGTTTTCTTATATATATATATATGCGTGTGTGTGTGTGTGTGTATTGACCATGTAAGTTTGAGGAAGATGCAAGTATGGAACAATAGAAGATGGGATGATAAAGACATAAGAAGACTTAAGGAACAATGGGATGTTACTGATTCTTCTCAAGGTTGTTGAGAGGATTGCTTTTACTTATCCCATCACACATGGTTTGTGCTTGATATTCTACATTTACAACTCCAAGAAATGTATAGCTTCTATCTGTTTGGCTTTAAGAATATATATGAAGCAATTAAATAATATCCCTAGCAGTAGAATATGTAATATATATTTACTGCTGTTTCTTAATTACTAGCAATCTGTGAATGTGACAGGTTGGCTACCATCCAGATTTTGAAAGCTCAAGATGTCTATTCATCGTACGCAAGGATGGAGAAATGGTCGATTTTTCCTACTGGAAATGCATAAAAGGCTTGATCAGGAAAAACTATCCTTTATACGCAGACAGTTTTATCCTGAGGCATTTCCGAAGGCGCAGGCATAATAATGACTGAGGGTCCATCCAAGTTTTCACCTGCAAAACTAAAATCAAGATTTAGCATGCATGATTATATATCCCATTTTCTTACATATGCAAGAATACAATTTATGGTTGCTGAAAATTTTAGAGAAAAATGTAAAGACAAAACACTCTTGACCTTCTTTGCAGTTCAAAATTTCTCTTGTATTTGGGTGTGGGTGTTGTTTAAGGACAAAGAGGGGTCAAACTCGTTAATGTTAGTAGTGCTTAATTGTTGTTCATTCAAACATAAATGAATCTTGAGGCAACTAGTTTGTGTTTCTGATGGCGGGAGTTCAATCTCTTTTATTTGGAATGGGCTGGTTCAACTCCCAAATAAAGGTTAATCAGGCTTTAAGCAAGGGTGTTTATGGGTTGGGTTGATCGGTTTGGAGGCATTTTAACAACCCTTAGTCTCAACTAGATGAGCCTCTTTTTGTCTAAATTACAAAAGGTAAATTTGGTTTGTTTAGGACCGGAGGTTGGGGTAATCTGTTAACAAGAACAGTTCTCAATAAACAAGAAGAAATCAGTTAATAAAGAACAGTTCTCAATAAACAGTTCTTAAGTTAGAATAAGAACTATTTGTGCATAAACTATAAGGAGCCCATAAATCTATTTTTCTATCCACGTGAGACCGGTTGATACATAAGGGTAGCTTGATCATCAATCTTAGGGAATATTTGAAAGTAACTATTTAGAAAAACAATAGACATCATAAAATATTGAAAAACTATCATGATAAATACATAAAAGTGTATCAATGAAAAATCAAACTGTTCAATGAGAAAATGAAAAGCATGGTGCCAATAAGTTATGAAGAGCAGACTATCGCATGCCAAAACCATTTTCTAATAAGGGAAAATTGCATCAAATTGGAACTAACTTTCACTTTATTCCTATTTTGGGGAACCAACTATTAAAATCTTCATTTAAGGGTCTCTATCAAACTTTTTGTTTATTTAAGGGTCTGATTGACCTGTTGAACATGTAATAAGTAATTTAATATGACTTGGAAGAAAATTATTTAAACAAATATTATGTGGAAATTATTTTGACAAATCATCATTATAATTAAAACAAATCAAAATGAAGTCCGCTTCACGTCTCCTACCTCGGTCACAATCCTGCCCCTCCCTCTTCCTTCAATCGCCATCGTCCCATAGCCTCCTGCCATTGTAGCTTTCTACCCTCTTCGACAGCCGTTGCCCCTCCCTCTTCCTTCAATCGTTGTCGTCTCATAGCCTCCTGCCGCTGTAGCTTTCTGCCCTCTCTGGCATTTGATATTTAATATTTATTTTTTATTGCATCAATTAGTTTTTTCTATTAAAAAACGAGATTTGAAAACATCTTCAATTTGATATTTGATTTTTTTTATTTAAAAAACGAGATTTCGAAAGAAAAATATATTTTATTGCATTAAATTTTGAAAAAAAAATGAATTTTAGTTAATTTTATATAATTATTTTGCAATTTTAAAATATGACGTGGCTTTAAAATAAAAAATTAATATGATGTGGAATATCTTAGTTGGCAAAAGATCTGGATTACGTCAGCATTAACTGGTCAACAGGTCAACCAAGCCCTTAAATAAACAAAAAGTTTGATAGATACCCCTAAATGAAGATTTTAAAAGTTGGTTCCCAAAAATAAGAATAAGGTGAAAGTTGGTTCCATTTTGATGCAACTTTCCCTTCTAATAATCATCAAATATGTTATAGTTAGAAATATAATTTGGAATCTTAAGATTTTTGATATCCATTCATCACAAGTATATTCATTTGTCTAGCTTTAAAGTTCTTTATTTTCTAAGAAATTGGAGAAAGAATTATCAGAGGGAAGAATCATTTGTGAAAGCATCCGTTAACTGTTAAGAAAGAGGATGTCCTTTTACCATAGACTCTTAGACGATGGTTGGTGTAATCTATTAACAAAAAGAACGTTGTACCTGTGTGAAATTGATACCTGGTAGTAATCTGTTAACAAGAAGAAATCGACATCTAGGTCAAAGTACGTGGCAAGGAATCGATACCAGAATTAGAAACGTGCTGGAGGCCTAGAGTGCTAGCTGTTGTGCGCTAAATGAGATGGAAGGCAGGAGTCGCCGAGTCCGGAAGGAAAGCAGAGGCAACTGTTCTGCTCTAAATGAGATGGAAGACACTTATACACACACGGGTTATCGGATTGGGTCGGGTTCCCTTGCACCTGGCCCCATACCAACCTAATAGAGGCTGGTAGGCCAATTTCATGATCAATCATGCTTTGGTTACCTCGGTTTGGGTTTTTTTCCGAGTTAGGTTGGTCGGGTTAGTCGGGTTTTTAAGCACTCCTAGCTTTAAGGATCTCTCCATAGGTTGCTAGTTCAAGTTTTATCAGAACCACTAAAGATTTTATTGGCTGTTATCTTCAGAGCACCATAAGATTGGTAAAAAGAAAAAAGAAATGGCAAATAACATATTTGACGATTTGTTGGCATAGTTGTTCCATTTCTGTTCGATTTAAGTTATTTGGATTAAAAAACATCTTACCGGATGTGTTGTTTTGTGGTTTCATTCTATTTTGCCATTACAAAGGTTGAAATGGCAAAATAAATCAAAATGTGAACATATTTTTCTTCAAAACAGGACATCTACATCGCCACTCATCAATAGTTACAAATTTACTATTTATCGATAACAATAGGTATGAAAAGAGAGAACTAAATGTTTTATTACATTAATTAAAAACGCGTAGTTAAACTAAAATACTAACCAAGAAAAAAAGTTTGATACATTTGTTCTTTCAGAAATTTGGTTATGTTCGTTAAACTTTGTAGAGAGTTGAATGTTGTTTTAAACAAATAACCATGGCTTGCGTCAGGTCTCCCAATGAGTGAAAGAAAATACACTGTTTATTATTTAGTGGATCAAATCAGCAGAAAAATCAAATAGTTCAAGTATCGTTCAAAATTCATAAATTTGCCAGCACATGTCTAGACAATGCAGAGATAGGTCCACATTTCAAGTTGACAGAATTCACCAATTGTTGAATACTCTTTGATAGAATTTACAACTGAATCTGTAAAAAGTGATTATTTTCTTGTCATAAAAATGGTTATTTTGATAAAAAAAAAAAAACTTTTTAAAAAACAATTTAAAAGATCTTTATTTAGAAAGATTATGATTTTCTTAAATAAAATCACGTATTTATTGGTCATCATAATTGATGTTAATTTTATTAGTTATTAAAAATATGTTATTTTTAGCAGATAAGTTTTAATTAAATCAAACCAAACAAAACCAAAGCAATAAATTTTATCAAGAGTTAAGTAAATAAGATGTCATGCAATTTTCCATAAATAAAAGAGACAAATAGGAAATAATTGGGAAATGAAGAGAAATAAAAATGAAATTTAAGAGGTCAAAAATAAGTCAATGAGACGTGGAATTGATGAAATTTCACTATCAATCAATCAATAATAATAATTTGATGGAGATTAGGGGTTGGAATTACTTATTTGAAATAACTTATGTTTTTTTATAAAAGTATTTATCAACTTATTATAAGTTAGAAGAATTTAACTTTTTTAAAAACTTCTTATTACCGATGTCACATATAAATAAGTCAATAAATTATTTTTTATAAACAATCTTAAATACCCTCTAAAAAGTAGTTGTGGAAAACTGCCACCTGTTAATCAAAATCATTTATGAAACTTATCCTTACACATACATTGCTTGTTGTATAAAGCTGGACCATACCATCATCCATATCTCTTGCTTCATGTGGTTTGTTAAAGAGAACAAATTTTTTCAGTTTTAAAATTATAAAACGGTCAACCTTCGTTTTTAAAAACATGTTCGGGTTTGGTTTTTTTTATCTAACGGTTATTAAAGTAGCGTTTGATATACAGACTGGATGAGCCATGATATGATAGAAGATGACTGGACATGACTAATTGTTTGTCCTACATTTGGTACAAGTAGGACTGACCGGATAAAACTGTTAAAATGACCAGATTGTCTTTAAATGTTGTTTAATGTTATTTTGCATCATATAATAATTGTAAATGACACAAATCAAAACCAAAATATATTTGAATAATTACATCTATAATATTTATACTATTTTCTAAATTTGAATACATGATTGAAACATAACAATTGTAAAAAACATACATAATTTAAAAATATTCCAACACAACAATTGTAAATACGTACATAATTTAAAAAAAAAAAATTCAACACAACAATTGTAAATAACACCTTTCATAATATCATCAAAAGTTTAAACATTTGAAGACAAAAATTGTCATCGTAAACATGTCAAGTGTACCAAAAATAATCCAAACATTCAAAAGTAGTCTTTTTGTTTTGACCATATTCTAAGACTACTATTTGTTCTCATTATAAATTGATTTCACAAATTCTAGTTCCACATAATCATCCAAACTCTTCCAAAAACGATATTGGTATATGATTTATCACTAAAGTACTTACCCATTCGAATGATTTCCATGACACAAAGTCTAAGTCGTTTCAACTCATTGCTTAAGCCATCCGTTTCCGTTGTAGAATCCTAGATAACTGAAACCAACTTTTTCATTTGATTGGTTGCTTCATGGATTTCATTTTTGGTTTCCTCTACTAACTTGGATATCTCGTTTGTTCTTTTTCTTTTTTTACTTGTTCCTTCTCCTTCATTTCGAATGGATGAATGAGAAGTTGTATTGGAAGGACTTTGAATGAGAGGAACATTAACTTCGGTAGGAAAATCATCATCGTTTTCCATGTACATATTTTCCAAAGCGTCTATAGCAGATTCGGCCATGTTTCCCATTGCACGATCTTTACCGAACACCAACTTCAACCCGCTCATAAGCCGGGAATGGCTTATTAGGCGTGTAGTTTTTATTGGGACGTTTTTACGTCAACAAACAAACAAACAATTAATAAAATAAGCAACACAAAACATTATACATAACCCATTATAATATATAACTACTAACCTTTAAATACTCCTCCAAAATCTTGGGAGCTTCGACAGTCACACATTGATTTGCGTTATTCCACCCAAATCCGCTCGTAAGCATGTCATAAGCAGCGAAATATTTATCTTTTAACCGTTTTATTTTATTTTGCACGTACTTTGCTGTTATGATAATACCGGGAATTATTTCCTGCATCTTTGATACAACAGTCTCATACGTACCTGACCTAAAGCTTCCATTGTCACATCTTCCACCATTTATGACAATGTCTTGAAGAACTGTGATCAACAAGTCTTCCTCATTCGTTGTCTACCCATGACGGTCTGTCATTTAAAACAAATCTACCAAACAATAACAAATACCAAGACAAACAAATATGCTTCCATAAGAAACAATTAGACAAAGCACACGTGATTCTATAGAAATAATAACAAATATCAAGACAAATATTATTTCATTAAAAACAAGATTTCATTAACAAACACCAATCCATAACAAATACTAACACAAATATGATTCAATTGTGGTTTAACATCCAAGATTCAAACATCTCTTGAGCTAAATCATCTCTCAACTGAGACCACTCATCACTTGCCTCAACAACATCAATGAACTCTGATGGTAAAAAATGGTCTTCCTCAATAGGCATTACTAGAAAATAAAGTATCAGCGATGGCAACAAAAATCCCTCGCTATCAGCGAGGGAAAGGCCAAAAATCAATTCCTTCGCTGATCAATTATTAATTACTAATTAATAAATATTTGTTCTTTAATAAAGATAATTAATAATTTAATTAATTAATTAATATTGATTAAAGCTTATTAAAGCCCACTAAAAACGAATAAAGCTCATTAAGGCTCACTAAAAATGAATAAAGTCAATTAAGCCACAATAAAATGGATTGGAATCCAATAGAATTGAATAAAGCCTAATAAAACTGAATAAAGTCAATAAAATGGATTAAGCTTTAATAAAAACGAATAAAGTCCAATAAATTGGAATAAAACCCAATAAATGGATTGAGGCCCAATAAAACCCTTTAAGGCTCAATAAAACCGAATAAAACCCAATAAAGCTCGTTAAGGTGCAATAAAATTGAATAAAACCCAATAAATGAATTAAGGTCCAATAAATCCCATTAAAGTCCAATAAAGCCAATTAAGACCTAATAAAACCGAATATATACACATCGTGTATACATATGTATATAACACGAGCCGACGGGTATATATACATATAACACATACACAATGTGTACATATAACACACACGTTATCTAGACATTCGTATATACACATATATTTAAACATATATATACAACATTCGATACATGTATCTTCAATATATACATAGATTCAATCGTGGTTAGCAACCAACAAACATATATACACATCGTGTATGCATATATATATATATATATATATGACACAGGACGACAAGTATATATACATATAACACATACACATGTGTACATATAACATACATCGCATTTAGCAACCAAAACTCATATATACGTATACACATATACATGTATACATATGACACCTACATATAAACATGTGTACATATAACACATAAAAAATGAGAAAATAAGAAAAATAGGATAATCTCTCGCTGATCATCCAGGGAATGGGATATGCAAGCTATTCAGAGTCATAATTTGACGAAGAACATGTAGTAATAAAATAAGAGGGGCCATTCCTCGTTTGTACACGTCTTCTCTTTGTTTTCGGAGCCTCTCGAGGCATTTTCTCTACCCCCCTTCTTACCCAATGTAAATTCCCATATTTTTATTGTTGATGCTCATGATTTCGATAGCAATACCAAGTAAATAGTTTTTCAGGTCATATCTAGTATTCAGAGTTTGCCTCGATTTGGTCGTGACATAGATAATGAATAAATAGGAGTTAATATCATTCCAATTTTTAGCTTGCATATCCCATTACCTCACAGATCCCTCGCTGATCAACGAGGGATTAACCTATTTTTCTTTTTTTCTTATTTTCTATGTGTTATATGTACACATGTTTATATGTAGGTGTCATATGTATACATGTATATATGTTATATGTATATATGTGTTTATGTGTAGGTGCCATATGTATGCCTATATGTATATATGTGAATGTCTAGATAATGTATGTGTTATATATACATATGTGTTATATGTATATATCTCCCCAACCCGTGTTATATACATATGCAGATGTATAAGTTTACATGACTGGAGGGCATGAGTGAGATGACAAGCAGAGAATTCTGGTCCTTTCTCATTGGTTCAGGGTTGGCAATTAATTGACAAATTGGATCTTGGTTCTACTCAGATTGTTCCAAATGGCTGTTTGGTTTAGAAACTTGATGAGAATCAGAAAGGATGAGGCCTCTAGAACTTAATCTGGATACTTGATAAGCAAAGAAACAGATCGGGCTTATTAATAATGTTTGATACTTCATTTATGATTGATTGAGCATAAAATTATGATAGTTTATAACGTTGTTCTCTCCTTAACCTCGGTGTGAAACACCCTATACTTAGATTTTTAAAAAAATCTGGCAAAAATTCGGCATGACCTGTTCGAAAATTCATGTTTTGCCATTTTTTTAAACCTGTAAACATTTGCAAAAGTAATGATTGCAAAATAACTGACCATACAAAAGTTATGATTACTAACTAGTCTTTATAAAGACGACTATATACAAGGTATAAAACTTTCATATTCTTCCAAAAATACATTTCCCCCAAACTAGATTAAGCTTCCAAAAGTCTCAAGCATTGCATCATCCTATAAACTTACCTGCTAGCCTTATAATAACCAAGAATGTTGCTAGCACAATCACTTGAACCAGTTCCTGAGATGCACGTCAACAAACAAAACAAATCAGGCTACATGCCTGGTGAATTAAGAGTTTTCACAATACAATATTTCAAGTGATTTATACTATCAAACAAAAATGCATGACTTACATATGCTTAATGTGATGTGTCAAATAAATGTTAAGTTCAACCAAAACATTATAAGTTAGCAGTCAATCAATATTTACAAAGTTCTATGAATACCACACAGTATGAGGGTGACCCATAACAACCGGAATCAGTGGAGGAGCACTATCCAACAGTCCACTTATCCGTTAGGCTAATTTCGGTTTAATCACCATTGTGCAATGTGTCCACCTGACACTATACCTATTAGCCGAGTACCTGGAGCATATATTCATGTACGGTACTCCAATACATTACCAATGGAAGCAACCTATTTACTGTAAAGGGAGCGACCCCAATACAAACGCAACAAAGGGGGTGACCCTAAGTCGTCAGATCCAGATCTACCATTCTTATGTCAGTGAGTAAATATATAAATCACATTGCCCCATTTATACAACGTAAGATTTTCCTCCTTTGGATACAAAACATGCTTATTTATTTAAAAAAAAATACATATCATCTTTCCAAATCACCAAAGTATTTCCTACATACTTTATCAAAGAAACAATGCATTCTTAATATGCATAAAGTCACTTTGTATAAACATTAATACCTTCATTTCATAACATCATTTAAAATCATGCATTTTCTACTTTAATCACTAAAATGCGTCCAACAAAATAAATTATGTAAAGGTAATTACGTTTGACGTGTACCCCATTAAAATCTACTTGAAATTCACCTTAGCCTATTTAGTTGAGATCCCGCCGGTGCCCAACTTGCTTATCCGCCGTGCTACCTAAACAATCCACACGCACGGTTCTCACATCAATACAAACATCCTAACAAAAGATTTAGACAACTTACTTATCTTAATATACATACCGACAAGAACCACTCAAAAATGGACTTTGAACCTTTTCATACATGGGTTTAAAAGAAACAAAACTTTTATTTGAATAAAAAATGGACAGCTGTGCAAAAACCCATTTTTTTTTACCTATTTAGAGTCCTAACTACCTCATGATGAACATATTAATTGTAGAAGCCTTCATAACAGTTCCAGATTGATATTACACGTCTAAATCCGAGTTACGAGTGATTTTATACAATTTTTACAATTTTCAGCACCAAAATAACTTAGTCCGGTGACTTGCTCATATTTCACCCGAGGCTCTAGACTCACATTCTAACCCCCAAAATATGCTTATCATACACATTGAAATATGCTTATAAGGTTCACACATTCATTTATGCACTCACAACCTAACTAATGCATAAATTTTCATATATTGATCAAACCGAACTCAAACTTCTTTTAACTTTGAAAATCCATCAAAACCTATAAGGAACATTGAAATAATCAATGTAACACCTTTATATACCGATCATAACTATATCCACCGAAATTCAATCCATAATTTTGCATATAACGACTCAATTTTAAAAATTAAGCAAAACAGTTTGACTTTTTGGAGAAAGTCAACTGTTTTGAACATAACCTTTAATCTATAAATAAAACATGATTGAATGAAAATTTTCTTTTTCAATCCATCTAATAACATCTTAATGATACCAAGAAACAAACCATAACAAACATCTTAATATTTTTATGAAGATTTCAAAGTCTTAAAGTTCATCACTAAACTTTGACTTTTAAAGATTATCAAAGATAATAATTTTTCAACTTCCACTCATGATTGAACATCTTAGATGAATTCAAAACTACCCTAAACATGAAGTAAACTTACCCAACAAAATACTTCTACTATCAAGATGTATAATACCCACTTTGTTCCAATCCTTGAAGGATTTTAGGTTCCAATGCAACAAAGTGAAGATATAACAAATTGGAACTCAATTGGGGTTAAAAATATACATCATAAAACTAGGTTTCTCAAAGAAATTACACATATACATGGCTGTCCACATGACAGCCGCTAAAACTTGATTTTGAGCCCTAAAACTCCAAAAAACGAATCCAATACCAACCTAAACATCAAATACAACAAGAAATAAAGCTAAGACATGACAAACTTACCTTAATTTGACGATTAGATGAAAAAAACAAGCAAGGTTGAATCGATTCCATCGGCGTCTTCTTCCTTCTCGGCTTCTCCCGATCCCCTTCTCTAATTCTAGTATTTTTTTTTTCTTTTTAAAACCCCTATTTATATTAATACTAGATTAAGGGAAGGACATTATAACCCCCTTAATTATCACTATAAAACAATTCTACCCCAAACTTTCAAACATCTAAATATTTATCTAACCTTTTAGAATGGGATGTTACACGGTGTATTTAGTTTTTTCTTTTCACCCATTTAATTATTTTCTAATTTTCAGATCTTAAGTCCTTTATGTTTGTCATTTTCAGTTGCGTGGGGACAAGCAACAATTTAAGTGTGCGGGTGTGATAAGTATATAGAAATATACACTTTACCATCTAGTTTGGACTTCATTTAGTTTTATGTTATTTCTTATCAATCATATATTGAGTCTTTTTATACTTATTTTACAGTTTAAACATGTATGAAGTTGAATGATAGTATTTGTTTTTTTTTTCCGACTTATTGTGTGCAAAATTGTTAACAAAAGTGTTGCTACAACAGGTGTGCTACAACAATGAGAGTCGATCATAGCTTTTGTCAGCTCATGGACAAACATTGGCGTTCATAATTATGAAGAAAGAAATATTTTGGAGCTGAAATCAACAAATTTTGGATGAAGGAAAAGAAATATAGTTAATAGAAGCCTGATCTATTATATTTAGCTACTAGTATAGCATTTGGCATTTGTGTTTGGTAAAAACCTATGGACATTAGTATATTACTTGTTATTTTTTCGTTCCCTTATTTATCATGTAAGGGTGGACACTGGTTCTGGTCTAGCATGAAGCTTCTTACAAGCTTTGAGATTTACTTACTTTTGCTTTCTCTTTATTTCAAGTATTGAAATCTTTTTGCTCTTGATGTTTCTACAGTAACTTTTACAGTTTTCATCTTACATTTTTGCATAATTACTTTTATGTTATGCACTTCCAAATCTTTTATTTACACTTCAGCAATATCGGGCTAAACACCGAGGGAAGGTTGGAAGAATAAACCTAATGTTCGTGGATAATTGTTTTTTTTTCCATAACAATCTACTTCACTATTAGGTTTAATATTTCATCTAATAATTTTTGACAAACTAACACATGTTATTTTAATCAGATGGGTTGGAATTAAAATTAAGACAACACAAATATTTTAACTAATAATGTTATAGAGACTATAAGAGCTGCAACAACCTTCATAGATTGCAAAACTATATAGAATGAAAGGTATGATTTGTACCAACTCTGAATTCGTATTCATTTTGAATACTGCAGTGAAGGTCTAACCTAAACTTCGAAAGAAGGTCGTTCAATCCAATAGAAGAGTTATTTTTGCAGCAATCTATATTATACTATTGCAAGGTTCTAACGCACTCTGACAACAAAATTCCAACTTGAGTTGGAAGATGTGGTCATCGGATATGTGGTAACTGGAGAGTGGTCGATGGATCTTGGATTTTTTGCCAGATTAGTAGTGGTGGTCGCCGGTTGTTTGGTGTTCATGGGAAAACCAGGGTGGGGGAGATTGTTGTTCGTCAAAAAAACATGGGGGTGAGAGGTTGGTGTTCACCGGAAAACAGAGGCAGGGGAGGTTGGTGTTCGCCGAAAAACATGGGAGGGAGGGCCTGTGTTTTTTGTTTGTTTCCGGCAAAGGGAGGACGATTTTTTATGGAGGTTGAAGATGGAGGTTGATTTTTGATGGACGTGCCGATGAAAGGGAGAGGTTGAGGGATGAGAGATTTTTTTTGGGGTTTTAAAATGATAAATATGGAAATATGCAAAAATACTGAAAATAATCAAATAAATAAATACTTATGAGTTTGCAAGGACAACCTTGGAGGGAGGTTGTTCTACATTTAAAAATCATTTTTATAATATTTTTAAGAAAATACGTAACAATATACAAGATAGATTCTGTTGCTAAGGTTTAACACAACCATACAAGCAAGCAAAAATAAAGAGATAGAGAAGAAAGATACAAACGAATTTAGAGAGGTTCACCCAAAACCGAGCAAATCCTCTTTGTTGAATGAACTCAACGAGACTATCCACTATATTGTTTTTTAAGATAGAAACATACCGTATTAACACTTTGACTATACAAGATTTGAATATTAAAAAAATAATAGTTGGATTTATGCCACACATTTACAACAGTATGGAGAATACTTGTCTTTTATATTTAGCATCACAAACTTTTTTTTAATCTTGGAAGAAAGAAAAAAGATGAAGCAAAAGAGAACTTTCAAAAGATGAAAGAGTCGAGAATAAGGTGAGGTTTGGTTCGCAAAATGTTTTTGGATGAAATGGAATTTGTTAAAAGAATTTGATTTTGAAGGAACTGGAATGGGATATTGTCAAGTTTGACTATCTGTTTGGTTGACAAATATTGGAATGGAATCTGTTAAGGAATTCGAATTTGTCTGTTTGGTTCACAGAATGTAGCTTTGGAATTGGAATGAAATATTGGTAAATGACCAAAATGCCCTTTTTAAAAATGTTAATTTTTAAGACTAAAAGTACTTTAATAAAATTATTATTTAATATGTAAAACAATATAAAAGGCATAACCCAAATATAACCATAAGCCAAACAACGTTACTAAATCAACGGTGGTCGGCGGTGTTCAGATGGCAATAGTCGGCAGTGATTCAGATCGATGGTGGTTTCGTTGTGGTTCAGATGGAGGTAGTCAACGGTATTTTATATAGATGGTTCAGACCGGCAGTGGCGGCGGCAATCGTTCAAATCGGTGGTTGTTCAAATCGTTGGTGGTCGATTGTGTCCTGCAGTAATTCAGATCAACGGTAGTTGCCAGTGATCGGCAGTGGTTCAGATCGGTGGTGGTCCGTGGTGCTTCAAGTGGCGATGATCGGATGTGGTTCCAATCAGTGGTGGTTCCGATAGGTGATGGTCTATGGTGGTTCAGATTGGCGGTGGTCGATGGTGTTCAGATCGGTAGTAGTTGGCGATGGTTCAGATCGATGGTGGTTCGTGGTGGTTCAGATGGCGATGGTTGACAGTAGTTCAGATCAATGGTGGTCCATGGTGGTTTAGATGGCGGTGATCGGTGGTGGTTTAGATTGGTGGTGCAAGGGTGGTTCAAATTAGTAGTTGGTAGTGGGTCAGATCAACGGTGGTTCAAATCGGTGGTGGTCGACGATGATTCAGATAGGTGGTAGTAGGCGGTGATGGTCGGCAGTGGTTTATATGGCACTTTACGGAGTCACTTTTATACAATCTTAATTTGGAGATTTGTGGGAATCTCAACCACCCCTTTCGCTTTGACGGTGGTTGGTGGTGATTTAGATCGATGGTGCTCGAAGGTGGTCGACGATGGTCATATTGGGTTTTATGAGATTAGGATATATTGGGTTAAGGGCATATTTGGCATTATGAAAATAGAGAATTTCATTCCATCAAAATACCATATAGTTGCTAAGGAATGTTAAATTCATTTATTTGTGGAATTTGTAAGATTTTTAATATTCCTTTCGTAAAAAAGAATGAACTAAACAAGAAAATGGATTTGGTCAATAAAATTTAACATTTTAATTTCATCAGATTTTTTCAGAATCTACTATGTTGTTTGGAAGTTGATAAGATTCCCTCTTGTGTAACATCTTGCGTACTTAAGTTGATTTCATTTCACATTTACCTAAAGTGTTTAGATTTAAAATTTATCCAACTAAGGTGCCGTTTACTCGAGTAAGCGTTTACCGAATCACTTTACTTTACCGGATGAATATGACAACAACTAAGAATCTTACCCGGTAAGAATGAATGCAATAATCGAAAATCTTATCCGATAATATAGGATGACGACTCTTACCATAAAAGAGTAATTTTAAAAACATATACTTACAAACTTTATCATTTTATAAAATATGATTTTGTGAAAATCATTTCATAAAAAATCCTTCTCGAATTTTATAAAAGGATCGGTAAAACCGATTAATCATGAAACAATCGTATTTCCACATGTTGCTTGAATATTCTTGTTTCGTAGTGCCTTCTCGGATTTGATCGATAATTTGAAGTTGACATGATTCCTGAGACGACAACATATACTTTCATAATTTATATATATGGACATCAAATAAAAAGTTATACGATACGGTTTGTTTGTAATCATCAAAATAATTAGAGTGATGTGACATACTTGCATCAAGAGAGATGTCGTCGATATAAAAATTACATAATTACCCTTTATGTTTACTTAATAAATAAAAATTAACGAAATTAAGTGAACGGACTAACATAAATCTCATATATCCTAGGTCATGTTTGATTTGCAGGAATGGAATGAATTTTGGATTTCAAATCCATTCCAATCTCATGTTTGGTTTGTTGGATTGTCCGGAAGTAGCCTACAAAAACAAATAACAATAGCAAGCACATGAACTTAAAGTTGAAGCACATAAACAATCAACCAGATACAAATAGCAATAACATTGGAGCTTGGTATCAAATAAAAAACTTAGGGGCTGTTTACCCAATTGCTTACCGGGTAAGCGCTTACCGATAGAAGTCAACACTGTGATTTAGTTTGATGCATAAAATTTTAGTATATCAAGATATATCGAATGCAACAATTTAGTGGGTAAGCGTTTACCTGGGTAAGAGTTGTCATTCTCACTTACCGGGTAAGACTCTCCATCATTTTCATCGCTCTTACCCGGTAAGATTCTTGACCCTTTTCATGCTCATCCGATGTAAAAATTTATCCGGTAAGTACTTACCAAGTAAGTGTTTAGTAAACGGCCCTTTAGAAAAACAATACACAATAGCATATAATGAAACTCCTATCTTTTTTCTCATTTTTTGGATTTATTTAAACCAAGCATTTGGGTTATTTTTGTAATTTTGTATACCCATGTTTAACCTCCAACTCTTGATTTGCTCTTYCATTTACTTTCTTTTATTTCTTAATGAAATTTGTATTATAAAGTTTTAATAATAAACAAAATGAATCCTAGAAAATCCTTTGGTGAGTGAT